GTTGGAGGTTGCTGTGAGCTGTGATGCCACAGCACTCTACCAAGGGCAATAAAGTGAGACTCTGTCTCTAAAAAAAAACTGGGTAGTCAAGGTGAGTAGCACACTCAGGCTGCTCTTTTAAGTTCCCAGTCTCACCTACTGTTCTCTTCATGGGCTGCTCATCAGTGACAAGGTGGACTGTCACTACAGCATCACACAGGGCAGTCTCCCAGCCTCACTTCCCTGCACTCCACCAGTCCATCTCTCCTTCCTCTCACTCCCCTTGAACTCTTGGCAACCACTGATCTTTTCTTTTTTTTTAAGAGACACAGCCTCATTTAATCGCCCTTGGTAGAATGCCATGGCGTCACATAGCTCACCTTACCTCCAACTCCTGGGCTTAGGTGATTCTCTTGCCTCAGCCTCCTGAGTAGCTAGGACCACCAGTGCCCGCTACTTTTTTTGTTGCAGTTTGGCCAGGGCCAGGTTTGAACCCGCCACCGTCAGTATATGGGGCTGGCACCCTACCCACTGAGCCACAGGCGCCACCCCACTGATCTTTTCTATAATTTTTTTTTTTTTTTTTTTTTTTTTGGTGAGACAGTCTCACTCTGTCACCCTAGGTAGAGTGCCGTGGCATTATAGCTTACGGGAACCTCAAGCTCTTAGCCTTGAGTGATCTCTTGCCTCAGTCGCCTGAGTAGCTAGGCCTACAGAGTCTTGCCACAACACCCAGCTAGTTTTCCTATTTCTGTTTTTAGTAGAGACAGGGTCTCCATCTTGCTCAGGCTGGTCTCAGACTTGTGAATTCCAGCAGTCTACCACCTCAGCCTCCCAGAGTGGGGGACAATTACAGGCATTAGCCACCATGCCCATCCTAAAGATTTTTGTTAGACAGAGTCTTACTTTGTGTTGCTCTCCGTAGAGTGCTACGGCATCATAGCTCACAGTAACCTCAAACTCTTGGGCTCAAGTGATTCTCTTGCTGTAGCCTCCCAAGTAGCTGGCACTACAAGGCCCGGCTATTTTTAGAGATGGGATCTTGCTCTTACTCAGGCAATCCACCCACCTCGGCCTCCCAGAGTGTTGAGATTATAGGCATGAGCCACCACACGTGGCCCCTAGATGTTATTTTTTTTTTTTTTTTTTTGCAGTTTTTAGCAGGGGCCAAGTTTGAACCTGCCACCTCCTGTATATGGGGCTAGCGCGCTACTCCTTGAGCCACAGGCACTGCCCCTAGATGTTATTTTTTTAAGGCAGTTTTAGGTTCACAGCAAAATTGAGAGGAAGGTATAAAGGTTTGTCATAGCCCCTCTGACCCCACACATTAATAGCCTTCCCTATTCTCAACATATCCCCTACTTTAACATCTACATTGATAGTCCTTATCACCATGGGTTACATTAGGGGTTACTCTTGCTAGTGTATGTCCTGTGGGTTTGGACAAATGTTTGAGAACGTGTATCCGCCGTTACCACATCATGTGGACTAGTTTCATCACCCTGGAAATCCTCTGCTCTGCCTGTTCATTCCTCCCTCTGACTCCTGGCAGCTGCTAATCTAAGTACTATTTCCTTTTCCGTTGGATTTGATCTTTTCAATAATAGATTTTCCTAAAGGCTTGGACAAAACATCTGGCAGGTCTCCTTTAAAGCATAGAGGCCTTTTAGTGTTTTCCCACGTGCTCACCCTGCTGGATCTCCGTGTATATCTCCAGCTCTTTGCTCTGGTCAGCAGCTCAGCACAGTTTGCTGTCATGGATGGGGAGGCAAACACCTTGTTCAAAATCCCAATTCCACCACTTGACTTACTCTGGCTTGGAGTGCGGCGGGGTAGGGCAGGGTTTTGAGACAGAGTCTCACTTTGTCACCCTCAGAGTGCTGTGGCATCACAGCTTACAGCAACCTTAAGCTCTTGGGCTCAAGCAATTCTCTTGCCTCCCAAGTAGCTGGAACTACAGGTGCCTGCCACAACGCTCAGCTGTGCTCTGTCATCTTAAAAAAGTCACTCAGCCTTTGAGCCTCAGTCTTCTGATTTCTAAAGCAGTTCTCTCGAGAGGCAGTAACTTGTCAAATAGCACACGTTAACAAATAGATGAAATCAGGGTGAGACTGGAGAAGACCCGGCAGGGCTATTGAGCTCAGTGGCATGGTGGGCAGGCTGTGAGTAGCAGGATGACACTGCACACTTCTGCCCTGAGTCTTCGGGGTCTTCAGCCACAGACAGGAGGCTCCAGGTGGCTTCAGGGCACAGGAGGACAGACAGCACATCTTAGCATGTCTTTTCTGCAGCCCCCAGGTTTCCTCAGTCCTGCCAGAATTGAGAAAGATGCTGAATTCTTGAGCCATCACTGCCTGTCTCACATTCAAATCTGTATTCCAAAAGAATGTGCCAGCAACCTGTGCACGTCCATTTAAGGCAATGTTCACAAGATCCTGATTCCTGAGCCAGACTCAGGAGCAGCAAAGCCACACTTCCTTTGGGATGTGAGGGGAGTGGTCACAGACCAGGCATCCCTGCAGTGTCCTCGGAAACCCAGCTTCCTGCATGCCCTTGGCATATAGTGTGTATGTGTGTGTAAGTTCAGACTTCAGAAAACCCCTTTGATTGGTAATGACTAGATCTCACTTGGCATAAAATATATCTGCAGTGTGTCTGCTGTATACCTGACTCCATCAGAGTCCGCGAGTGTATGAGGAAGTAGGGAGGTTTACACAAGTGAGATCATGACCCACCTTTATCTGGGGCTCTTTTTTTTTTTTTTTGAGACAGCCTCAAGCTGTTGCCCCAGGTAGAGTGCTGTGGCATCATAGCTCACAGTAACCTTGAACTCCTGGGCTTAAGCGATTCTCCTGTCTCTGCCTCCCAAGTAGCTGGGACAATGCCTGGCTAATTTTGGTTGCACCTGACATTGTTGTTTGGCAGACCCAGGCTGGATTCGAACCCACCAGCTCTGGTATATGTGGCTGGTGCCTTAGCCGCTTGAGACAGGCGCTGAGCCTCATCTGGGGTTCTTGAAGAAAACTAAGTCCACTCCCCAGGCCACCTCAGTGAGCTTAGAGTCTTTCTTAGAAGACTCATGGGAAAAGTTAGCCTACTTCTTATGTGGTGTCAGAAATCATTTATTTTAGTTAAGGAAACGACAGGATGATGTTCCCTAAATGTGAGGTTGGAAACCGACATCTGAGCTCTGCTCAACTTGAGGTTGCTTTGAGGCGCCCAGCTGCCTCCTCAGACCACTAGAGGGTGCAGGAGGACACTCATGAGGGCCCTGGTGGCTTCAGGAGAATCAAGGAGCAAATCCTGCTACCTCGATAGAGGGTGAGCCACGTGCTGAACCCTTGGCGCTTTGTGCCACCACCCATGCTGGAGTCTGTGACCAGAACAGGAGCCAGGAGGAGGGAGTGAGGGAACAAGTACATGTGGGGTCCAATGCCTGATGGTCTAGTAGGCACATCCCTTCTGGGCAGTGTGTCACTGGCCGCCCATGTCAACTTCGGGTCAGTCCTTGAAAGGGCCTGAGGCACTGCAAGGGTAACCAACATCCTGCTGTGTTTGTTCCCAGAGTGTCCACAGGGAGACAGGGGAGTGGGGTGCAGTCAGTGAGTGAGGGCTGTGAAGTAGGCAGGGCTGACTTGTTTTTTTCTACTCTAACACACAGAGTTTTTGAACATTGTAAATTGTAACTGTGGTATATGTGAAGACCTGGTATTCTGTGTAAACCACTATTGTTACTTTGTACTTAAATCTCGTGTGTTTTATCTTGTTTTGTGTGTGTGTGTGTGTGTGGTTTATTTTTGAGACAGCTTCAAGCTGTCACCCTGGGTAGAGTGTTGTGGCATCATGGCTTACAGCAACCTCCAACTCCTAGGCTTAAGTGATTCTCTTGCCTCAGCCTCCCAAGTAGCTGGGACTAGAGGCGCCTGCCACAACACCCAGCAGTTTTTGGTTCCAACCGTCATTGTTGTTTGGCAGGCCCGGACTGGATTCGAACCCGCCAGTTCCGGTGTATGTGGCTGGTGCCTTAGCCGCTTGAGCCTATCTCGTTCTGTTTATACTGCTTTCTCTAATGCCCATGAATGCCAGGTAGCAGAGCCCTCGCCATGCCAGTGCAAGCATGGCCTTGTCTGCATTCCGAGTAATCTATCCAGGTCCCTGAGGGAGCCCAGTAAATGTTTCATAGACCGAGAGTGCTCTTTCCCATCTGCCTCTGACCCCTTAATAGAAACGTCAGCTTATACACAACTGAGCCCTCCTCCCACACTGTCCAGGGCACAGGCTAGTATGGCTCTTGCAGCCCCCATTTGTTGAGTATCCACTGTGTACCAGCACATTGCCAGCTTTTCACACCGAGTGCCAGGTGCGGTGCTGAGTCTTCCCTTGTGTGAGCTCATTCAGCCCTTACACCCTGTCTTGCTGCTGAGAACCCCGAGACTAAAGAGTGAAGAAGTGGCTTACCTCAGGCCACCTGGTAGATAGGGGCCAGAACTCCCAAGCACTCAGTTTATTCTTGAATCTTTAACCCTCATTCAAAACCCTCAAAGTAGGCATTGTCCCCATTTTAAGGAAGAGGATACTCAGGCTCAGGAAGGTAGGTATGACCTGGCCAAGCACCCTGGCTAGTGAGTGCAAAGGCCAGATTGGGGCTCTCCCCCATCAATGTCTCAGGGGGGCTGGTCTACCCTTCGGCTCCTCCCCCAGCCTTGGCCTGCAGCTGCATGGGTTATTTTCATCTCTCCTGTCATTCCAGCCAAACCACCGAGCCAGTGAGTCAGTCTTGCAGTTGAGGGGGGAGGGTACTACCAAGAGCCCTCAGTGGAAGAAGTTTCTCTAGCGGGTGGGCCTTCAGGCCTTGCCATGCCCTGGCACCACGGGAAGGGCCACTTTCCTTTGGCCCCGCCCATGGGTTTGGGCAGTGACTGCCCTGGATAAGCTAGCAGCCTTCCCCCAGAGGTTTGGGAATGGCCCTTGAGGAGAGTTTATCTCCAAGTGACTTGGATTCCCTTGTCCCCTTCATCCAGGTGTCAGCAGTACCCACCGTGCTAGCCATTAAGAACGGGGATGTGGTGGACAAGTTTGTGGGCATCAAGGATGAGGACCAGCTGGAAGCCTTCCTGAAGAAGCTGATTGGCTGACAAGCAGGGAAGAGTCCGGACTGCCTGGGACCCCCATGGTCCCCGGGAGGGATCCCCATAGAACTCACAGCCTTTCCGTGCTGGCCCTTCCTGCCACCTCCCTCTGTCTGGCCCCTGTGGCCTGTGCTTTGGAGACCAGCCTCCAAACACAGGAGCCACACGTGTTTTAGAGCCGGCTGACTGCCAGGGTGACTGTCAGAGGAATGGTGCTGCTGCTGGCCTGGGGACAGCGCCTTCCCACCCACCTGATCTTGTCTCCTCCTTCCAGGGCTTATTTCGGTTCTCTAGGATGCTTGGGGAGAGCCCAGGGCCAGCCCACAGTGTTCCTGGTCACACAGCAACACCTTGGTCCCTCTTGATGTGAACCGTCTGCCTCCTAATGTCTTTCTTTCCTGCTGCAGTTTTGTAAAAAGAAAAAAGAAACCAGAACAAGTGAGAGTAATATATAATTCTCTCATTTTTTGTAGGTCTGTAATAAAGAACTTTATGTGATCCCTTCTACCTCCTGCTGTGAAGAACTGGCCTGCCCCCCCCATCCCACACTAAAATCCCAGTAGCTGCCCCCCACCCCCAAGAGCCACCTCCTCCTTTCCTCCCAGGCCTGAGGGCAAAGGACAAGCATTGGGCTGGGATAGCCCTGGAGATCCTTGATTCTGGAAGGCTCAAGACACCACCTTCCCTCACGTTAGCTGGCCCTTTGATCCTTGAAGCAGGAGGCTTAACTGTGAACAAATCAGATCAATAAAGGTACAGGGGTTTCTACTGTTGACAACTTGTGACCCTTTTCCAGGAGGCTCAATCATTGTCCCTGTTTTCTCCTCTGCCCCTCCACCACCTTCTTCCCTTTACCAGCCATCTTGTTAGTAACTTGTCAGTGACAGCATCTGTTCTGGGGACACTGTCATATATATGGTTCTTGTGCCCCTCATAAGGCAAAGGCTGTTGCCTCCATTACCCAGATGAAGGCACTGAACCTGGCAGGATACAGAACTAGGGTTTCTGCCCAGATGAGGTTCTTCCAGAGCCTGGACTCTTACCGGTAATCCCCCAGGCCTCCTCCACTGACTGGCTCCTGTGGGGCTCAGACTGTCCATGCTGTATGTGCTGCAGGAACTCCTGGGCCTCAGGACCAAACTACCTTCCCTGCTCCCCAGCTCCACTTGTCCATGAAATAGTTTGCCAGGAGAACCTGGCTTGCCAGCCAAGAAAACCTTCCCTCTGCCTCCCAGGGCCCAGCTGCCATTTTGGCTCAGGTCTTTGGGTAAAGTGCCAGCTTCCTGCAAGTCTCAGGGGAGACTTGAGTTAGCTCATAATTAGGGGCCTGTGGCCTCTGGAAGACCACAGGCTCAGGATCTGTCATAGGCACCTACAGACAAACTAGCAACTGGTATTAGTGAAGAAGGAAGTTCGTGTATGTTCTGTGAAGGCCAAGAATGTAAGGTGACAACAGCCACTGGTTGTGAGCACCAGGCTGTGTTCTGAGTGTCTTACCTCCAACTCCCACAGGGAGGTCCCACCTGAGACCCTCTCAGAAAGGTTAAGGAGCTTGTCCTGAGGTCAGGACCCAGTTAGTGGCCAGGCTGGGATTCAAGGCCAGCAGCCTGGCCCCCTCCTAAGCACCACCCTCACCACCTGCTGTCATCTGATAAGTGGTGTGGATGATCTTAATCATGCAAGCCAATGAGGCAGGTAGAGCAGGTTACATCAGCTCATTTTACACAAGAGGAGCCATTGGAGGTTGCATAACTTCTGCAGCGACACCAGTGAGTAAGGGGGGCAGGACAAAGCAGGCACCTGCCCCCAAGCCTGGCCCTTTTTACCCTGCCTGACTGCCACTCCTTAAAAGGCTCCATTTGCCAAGCACTTCTTAGACACATTACCTCATTTAATTCCACTGTTGTGAGGCAGCTATTATTTCCGTATTGCATATAAGTAAAGAAACTGGTCCAGAGAAGTTGACTTGCCCAGGGTCATGTCTAAAAAGTGACGATGCCAAATTTGAACCTAGTGGGGGTCTGACCTCTCTGCCCTGGGTGAGCATGGAAAAAAGATAGCCAAGGCCATCAGCACTGCCCCAGCTCCCTCTCCTTAAAAGGTGTGCTGTCCAGGTGAGGCTGCAGCGGCTGTCCCAGATTGGCAGTTCCTGCCCATGAGGCTGTCTGTGGCTGTGAGCATAGAATCCTCTTGGTGATCCTGTTTGACCCATTCCATGGTGCTGATTTCACTGGGATGCTGCTGGCTGTGTGTCGTTACCTCCCTCCCCAATCGTGTGTGCCACGATGGACTCCAGGGCTGTAGAAGGGGGTGGCAGATAACTACCAAAATCCTTTACCCACAGGGTTGGGAAGCCTACGAAAGGGGGCTAGGCTAACTCAGGCCCCCTGAGCCCCAAGACTTGAATATGGCGTCAGATGTTTATTCTGTTAGCTTCTGAGTGTATCCTTTGGCTTGTAGAGAGGAGGCAGGGATGGAAGCTCAGGTCTGCTGGGATGGCTCCAGGGCTTCCCTCTCCTGTGACCCTCACCTTTCCCCTGCTAGGCAGCAGCTCGCAGAGGAGACTGAATGAAAGGGATAGCAATGGGCAGGAATGGCTCCAGCAAAGAGTGTTAGCATGTCTTGGAAGCGTTAGGAATGAGTGTGTGGTGGTCACTAACTCCAGTCCCTCTGAAAGGTACAGAACAGAAGGGAAACCAGCTCCGCCTTCCAGGTTTATGCCCCAAAGTCACCAGAGCAAGGAGTGCAGGTCACTCCTGAGCTGATGTCAGGACAGCTTGAAGGGACCTCAGGTTATCTATGAGGCCCCTCATGAAGGCATAGGGAGGCAGGCATCCCCAGGTCACAGGACCTTGGTCTACCAAGGGCCCTGGCTGCAGCCAGCCCTAACGTGAAAATGAAGCTTGGTGTCTTCTTCCCTTGGGTTCAGAAAGGAATGAGAAGGGCAGACCCCAGACAGGACCTGTCAGGTCAAGAGGATGTTGACCGTGTTACCACCACTGCCCTTCCCAGCAGTCCCTGCCCCTATGAGGAGACCAGGGCCAGCTCGGCCCCCACCCCAGTCGCCTGGGGAAAGCTGCTGCGGAAATTGAAAGTAGTTTTGGCCAGGCTGCGGAAATCCCAAATGTGTGGGCCCTGGGCTAGGAAGGGCCCAGAAAACAATGTTGGGGCCATATCCACAGAAGGCAGGATGCTGTGCAACAAGGCTTCCAGGCATGCTGCCCGGTTCCTCTCCACTGCCTGGAACACCCGCTGCAGGTGTGACCCTGACCCCTGGCCCCTGGCCCCAGGGCTGGGGTCTGCTCTGAGGGAAGTCTGGGCTGCTAGCTGCTGTAAGGAGCCTCACCCCTCCAGCCACCTCCTGGCAGCACTTTGGAGTCTGGGAGCCACCAGCAGCCACTCCATAGTGATGTGAAGTAGTTCAGGAAGAATCAGATCAGGGTTCAGTTCCTGCCTTTGCCACCTACTATTTGTGTAACCATGGGCAAGCTGCTTCACCGTTCTGAGGCTGTTTTCCCAACAGTAAAACAGGGCTGATAAGGATGGCAGCACTTAGCACCGTCACATGCATCTCCACGTGCAGTCTTCGCAGCAAGCAAACCCAAAGTTAGGGACTGTTACTGCCATTTTACAGATGAGGCTCAGAGGACATAAGTAACTTGGCACAGACAGGTGTCAGAGCTTGAGTTTGAACTCTGACCCAATTGATTTCAGAGTCTCTGTGCTTCTGCCCATTAGCTCTGCTGCTTTCCTGTTGGGGCAGGTTTTTCGCCGTTTGGGGTAGGTCATGGATAGCACAGGGAAGGGGAAGCACTCTGACACCTTGAGAAGCACTTGCTGCTGTGCTCTCCTCTTTCCCCAGGGTCCTCTTCTCTGAGCTACATCTTAAACAGGAAACGCCAGGCTTCCTGATAGAAGGACCCCAGCAGCCACCATGGGACGGGCCATTGCCATACCAAGTTGAGGGCCTTACATCCAGCCTGGCATCTGCCCTGAGCCCTGCCACTGCCTCCTCCTACTCCAGAGCTGGCTTGGCGGTGCCTGCGTCTTGGGGAGCTAGAGGTGGTGACCTCACCCTTGGAGAATGCCCACCGGAATTCACCCTGAACCCAGGCCTCCTGGGTTCTTCTGGTCGCCAACAGAGTATGTCTTGGGAGCTAGAACACCCCTGCTACACAGCTGCTAATTACTAGTTGGTGGCAAGCCAGCTCCCTCCTTCAGCTGGCTCACTGGGCCAGCTTAGACAAGCAGCTGGAGGTCTCTGGTCTCCTGCCTTCCTCAGCTTCCCATTATGGAGGCAATTCATGCCCACCCCTTTGTGCCCCACCCGGCCAGATGTGCCACCCATGCTTTCTCTGCCCCTCCCAACACCTGCCTGAGGGAAGGATCATTGCTCCCATTTTACACAGGAAGAGATTGAGATGCAGAGAGGCGGTGCACTGTGCCAAGGCCACACCTGGGAAATGTTGCAGGGCAACCTGACCCAGTCTCCGGCTCTTCCCCCTTTGCCAGCTGCTGCCCCTAGGAAGGTTGAAGGGTCCCTCTTTGATGCCCAAAGTGGGGACTTGGGACCTCTTTTTATCTCACTCCTCCATCCCCAGACCCCAGAAAGAGGCAGGAGACTCCATTTGCTCAGAATCCATTCCTAAGGCTGGAATATTCTCTCTGGTGTAAATATGGCAGCTTCAGCCAGCAAGTGTCTGGGAAGGCCGTTCTGTGCCCCTGCCCCCAGGGTGCTCATAGCAAACACCACCTACAGTATAAACCTGCATCACAGCAGAGACAGCTCTGGACAGCACAATGATGCAGTACGGACTCTAAGTCCTGGAGGAAAGGGGCTGTCGGGTGGGCCATGGGGAGGAAACCATGTTGGAGGAGGGTTATGAAGAACCAGATGGGAGTCAGCCTGAGAAGTCAGCAGTGGGAAGCACCTTCCAGGCAGAGGGAACAGCACACACACAGGCAGGGAGGCGGAAGAGTACACCATCATCCAAGGAGAGAGGCTTCAGTGGGGCCTAGAGTCACACAGACCCAGCTCCAGTCCCAGCTGTCTCCCTCACTAACCATGCCTCAGTTCTCTTCATCTCTGATAGAACCCTCTTCATGGCTGAGGGACTGACATGGGATCATAAATGTAACGTTAGAGCATGATGTAATGATGCGGTAAGCGCCCTATTAAAATTTCTATTATTGTATATTAGACACGGATGGCTACTGGTTGTCTAGGGCTGCTATGACAATACCACAGACTGGGTGGTTTAAACAACGGAAATGCATCATTTCACAGCTCTGAGGCCTGGAAGTCCAAGATCTAGGCGCTGGCAGGGCTGGTTTCTCTGGCAGCCTCTCTGCTCGGTTTGCCAATAACCACCTCCTCCCTGGTGCTCATGTAGTTTTTCCTCTGCGCAGGCGCACGCCCCGATTGTCTGTGTTCAAATGTCCTCTCTTGTAAGGACACCAATCAGACTGAGGTAGTGGATGTTGGGGCTTCAGTGTGTGAATTTGGGAGGATACAATTCAGCTCTTAACAGCATGTTGCATAGTTGTTGTTTTGGGTTTGGGGGGGCTTTTTTGTCTGTTTGTTTGTTTTGAGACAGAGCCTTAAGCTATCGCCCTGGGTAGAGTGCTGTGGTATCGCAGCTCACAGCAACCTCCAACTCCTCGGCTTAAGCAATTCTCCTGCCTCTGCCTCCCAAGTAGCCGGGACTACAGGCACCCGCCAAAACACTTGGCTATTTTTTTGGATGCAGCCATCATTGTTGTTTGGTGGGCCCAGGCTGGA